TGAAATTTATTAGGTAAGCTACCGTTACGCAGGTGAAGCGGTATTAGGAGCTTATAGGATCCATCCTATATATAGCCATTATAATTAGACCCGACGTTACGTACGCGTTTGTTAAGCTCTCGTAATTCTTAACGAATCTAAGCTTAGAACACCTTAAGGCAGCTAAATAAACTATACAGTACCTTTACGGAACGCGGTTCTTAAGGATACAGTATAAGGGGGTGATAAATGGCACGTAAGTCTTGCTGATCGTAAGAGACGTATCTTTTATAAATGACATTAAGACTAGGCGCTTTATATAAGGGTATACGATAATGCTTTTTAACGGTTTAATTAATTGGAAAGCGGCGCGTTAAGACATAATAACCATATTATCTACTAAAGCAGAGCTCTTAACCCTCTCCCTAACCGCGAAAGAAGCGATAGCCTTTTAAAGGCTGTTTAAAGAGATCTTTTTAAACTTAAGAGAGCTTTAAAAAGTTTATTATAATAATTAATAAACGATTAGACTCGTAATGGGCGATAGAGAAAGAATTAATATTAAGCTACGTTATATAAACATCTATAACCTGTGGCTACGTTAGGAACACTCGAGGAAAGCATTCGAAGTCACTTACCTCTTTATAAAAGAGATGTTAGCCGATAGTCTTACGAAGAACTTATTACGGTAGAAGTTCGAACACTTTAAGGCGCTTTTAAACCTTTAAGATACGCGTTACTTTATTAAACTAAGTAAGTAAAACAGTGTTAATAAGTAAGGGACAAAGTCCTATACGCTCGCTAACGTAAATTACAGTAAGGACAATAAGGCGTAACCCGCCCGGCACACGCCGGTGCTATATATAAAAAAAAAAAAAAAATACAGGATAAGGTTACTAAGCAGTAAGCTTAATGCAACATTTGGAAAAGGTCTTATAAGATGTTATCTTATGATATAGTTATAGATCTCGCTATACGCGGCGAGGAAGCGCTCTCGGCGCTCGTCTCCTTTATTCTCCTCCTTTAACTCATCCTTATCTTCGTCCTCCTCGACCGGGGAAGCGGCTATAGGCCGCCTCCCTTTGCTCACTATAGCCTTCTTTACCTCGTCCTGCCGGAGCAGGGTGCGAATCGCTTAGCGCAGGCCGAACAACGCAGACGCCTTTACGCCGCGGCGAATCCCCGCAGCGAGCTCCCGGGCAGGGCCCTTAACGATTTCGGGGTTAGAAACGTGTTAGTAATAAGCATTGGAAAGTTAGGGAGCAGGAAAACTTACATCGGCTTATAAGGGTGGCTGTGCTGGTAGCAGTGGAAACACTGCGAACTGTTTGCTGCATCGCAGTAAACCCTAGACCTTTTGCCCGCTAAGGCGGACCGTAAATAACTAAAACAGAGGTTGCGTCTCGTCTTCCCCTTTACGGGGAGCTTCTTCTTCTTCGTACTGTAAGAAACGGTTAGTGGCAGACAGATAAGAAGAAAGTGAGGCTAAACTCACCTTCCGCTACCAGTCTGGGGCGGGGCCCGGGCCGTACCTTTTGACTTGGGGGTGGTCGGGGCGGGAACGCTGTGTAAAGGTCAGAAACATGGTTAAGAAGCTGGAAAAGGGTACATACCTCTCTATAGCTAGGGTTTCGCTGGCGCTTAACGACGAAGAGGACGCTACAGACACAGCGCGAGTGGGCGAGGTTGACCCGGCGGACATAGGAGCAGACCGGGAAAGCCGAGACGACGAAGCGGCAGCACGAGTCGCACGAGCTTTCTTAAGCGCCGCGAGGCGCGCAGCATGGCTCTTCTTGCGAGCTATTGTGTTTGCAGATGTTGTTGTTGGGAGGAAAAGAAGGCTCAGTATGGGATCGAAGGAGCCTTTTATACGAAGGCCGGGTGGGTCCCTAGAACGGTCACTCTATTTGTGAGCGCATTCCTATTGTGCGGTCATTTTATTGTGCAGACTCCCATTGTGAGGCTTAAAAGGGGATAGTGCGCACCCGAAGACCAATTAGACGGGGTTATGGGTCATAAAGGTGGTGCGATGACGGCTGGAAAAGGGGTTTTAAGATGGCCTTGACCGTTTTCTTAGATGGATTTGACAGGTTCAGAAGGACTTCAGCTTACTTTGAGATCATTCTTAACCCACTTACAGATCGTCACCAGCGCTGCAGACAGCTGATCTCCTGCGCAGTAGATCAACTGGGGGGTGTGTCGCAGGGTGTGTCTCAGGGTGGTCACGTGGGCCAAGGTGCTTCACGTGCTGCTTCAGGTGCGCCCTGAGGCGCACCCCATACAGCTTACTAAGCTCTTTCTTTTGTCATGTATATATACTGCGAGCTTCGCTCACTCTCTTTTGTATCAATCAAGGAACTCTGATCAATACTTCCGAAGCGCTCTTCTCACAGCAAGTCTACTTTGCAGCTCCCGCTTCTACGTGACAACCCTAAAGTACAGATACAATTGCTTCTCTGCGAATAATGACACACTAAAGATGCTCCCCACGAGACTCTTCATCGCGCCACCAGTGTCGCCCAAAGATCAACGGCTCCTCTAGACTCTCACAGACGAGGCAGTTGACCGGGGTATAGGATAGGGCGCCAATGTAGACCAGGGTGCCAGTAGCTGTCCTAGCAGATTTGTTCCACCGAATCATCACCTTACCCATGCTAAGTAACTCTCGGGGTGTCTCGCCATTTTCTTGAGGGAAGCTGATGCTGACCGGGCCGAGAACTTTAATCTCGAAGTGGAGCTGCTTCGCATATGCTAGTGATATGAGGTTGACACCTAGTCTCTGCTCGACACGCGCTGTGGCTCGGATCCGTCTATTGTTGAATCCACTTATAATATACCCTTCCTCAACGGTGAGTGCTAGTGGGGGCGGTCCTGTCATTAACGCGTCTGACCCTCGCGAAGCTGCCGCCGTGTCTGTTGATTTTCGCCCATGCGATGTGGAGCTGGTGGATGGGGTGGAAGAAGATGATGTCTGAGTGCGGGAGGTGGACGCTGGTGACGCGCCGGATGCCTGTCTGGCTAATGGTTCCGGCATCGTAGGTCTGGTGATTGGCTCTCGGGAGTGCTGCTCTTCCGAGCTAGGATTGCTCGGAGATGGTGGCGGGAACGCCTCAGACCTTGGACGAGGGACGCGAGTTCGTGGCACGTATGGCGCCACCCTGACCTCTGGCGTAGTCACGTTTGAGAAAGCTTCCGATCTAGGACGCTCTTGGCGTACCGACCGTGTAGTTGGGGTGTGTGAAGAAGAAGCGGCTGGAAAGATATCAGAGGTAGGTTGCTTTCTCCTGCGACGCTGGCGCTGGTGCGTTTTTGCCGGTTCACTGAAAGAGAATGTCTCGGGCGGAGTGTTGGGGACTGTTTGCGTCTCTGCCATGCTTCGCGCGAGGTGGCAGAGAGCGATTTGCTGGTCGGGCATTTGAGAAGCCGCACGCTCGCTGGGGCTTGTTGCCGAGACCTTAGTCGGAATAATGTGGTCCTGCTCCCGCAGTAGACGGATCGTCTCTATCTGATCCTCGATCACTTTCTTCAGAAACGCGCTGTTAATCCTCGAAAATCAGTACTGCCAAATCACGCGGCCGCCCCCAAAGACGAGACATAGGAATTCACGCACATCTCCTCCTCAAGTTCAGCTTGAGACCTCCCTGCCATGGCCACCGGCGCCTGCTCTACTTGAATGATCAAGATAATTATTTGAAGACTCGCCTTTAGGCTCTCTATACTTGGTCCCAAGGCTTCGATATGAGGCTTCATCTGATTCCACTTCCAGCTCGTCCACCAGGCGAACCGTCTCGGAATGAGCCACATGTTTCTCCGCCGAGCGCGAATCTCGGCCCCGATGTGGTCTGACTCCTTTACCAACGCCTGTATCACTTTGAACCGAGCCAAGTACTGAATGGCTGGCGAGTCCAGATTCTTCGGCCGGTGATGCTCGAGAGAGGCGCGCACTGTTCCGAAAACGAGCGAAGCCGTCTGTAGCTGGAGGGCGATCCTCCTCATTTGGTCCCCAACCGATGGGGCTTGCTTAGCTACATCATAGAGGGTCTTGACAAAGGACGCAATAGACTTGGTAGCCTTTGCGAGCGACAGTCCGATTGTGACGAAGCCCAGAACTTCAGCCATTTTTCTTCATTGTAATATGCGTTTTTCTGTATGAGGAAGAGTGCCGTCTGTTTGCAAGACTACCTAGGTGCTACTGCCTGCTGCCATGTTCGACTAAATAGCATCTCACAATACATACCAGCAAGAATGTTACCGAGCCTTGCGCGGACACGGGCAGTGCAATGAAGTGGTGGGCATCCATCCTGCATTGCTCCGCCTTAATGACTGAGATATCAGGCTTCCAAAGAGGCTTCTCAGAAGGCGCAGTACGAGGTGCAGTATCGGACAGTCAATCGGATTGCAGCCTGTGAACTGGCGGCGTCTGCAGAGAGAGTTGGGCAGGCATGCATGAACCTATCCCCCGCAAGGCAGATAGCGGGCAAAACGAGACGTAACGCTGGGGAATCAAGAACTCGGTGTCGGTTAGATGACTGGTTGGTTAGTTTGGAGACCATCATCCAAATCGTGCAACACCCATACTTCAAAGACCGATAAAGTCACAGACACATCTGGACCGCGTCAATCTTGGATCCACCAAAACGACTTCTTGACCTCTGTCTGACTAGGCAAGAAGAAGCAACTGCAAGCTTTGAGATCAAGCGTTGCGCTTGAAGGCGCGATAGAATCCGATTATGCCGACGAGTAAAGTGCCATGTATTTAGAAGCTAGTGAATTTAGGACAGATAAGCCCACATACAGTGTTTTCACCTGAAACTGAAGACAATTCAAGGCGACGCAATTAACGCACAAAAAGAATGAACTAGGTGTAAAAAAGGCAAAAAATGGTGATGCTGTAGCTCAGAGAACATGACCCGGTAGTCATTTTCTTGAACGTATGTCCATGAGCCAGAAAAGGCCACCGAGAAGCCATTAAAAAAACGTAAAACTCAAAGCAAAAAACACCGTGTAACTCATTAACGAAGTGCGGTGTGTGCGGATCGAACGCACGACCTTCAGATGTGGTGATTGAAGTATGACTTCAGTCTGACGCTCTCCCAACTGAGCTAACCCCGCCTGCGGAACTTGCCGATTCCATTTGTAAAGATGCCACTTGAAGTCTCTTTATCCGTAACCAACCCAGAAAAGAGAGAACTGTTTGTTACCCACGACGATTTGCGACTGCCAGATAGTATGTCTCTACTACCCGTCTCTATGCAATGTTCAGGTCCTACTTCTGCGAGAACCTACGCGATAATAGCCAACCACTGTTGCAAAGGCCTTTCACAACCGGGTCGGCTCCACGGGATGTGGGTGGCGGGGAGATATCTTAACGAAGATAGCCACATTCAAGTACTCTCAACTTCCGTTTCCTGTCAACCAAACCTGCGTTACCCTACATATCCGCCCATACACGAGCAGCTCAAATTAGGGATTGCGTGTACCGTCATGTTTGTTCGTGCGCGCTACTGTCAAGGATCCCCGCATTCTCCCCGCCTCCGCCCACCTTCCGCGCAAGCACCCCGGCCAAGCCCTGGCTCCCGTCACCAAAGAAGCTTAACATGCTTAACGGGCTTCATTCATGCGCTAAGTTTATGGATTACGGCGGGTAATGACCAAATGCTGGCAGTTAAGGTGAATCCTGGTAGTTTTTTCTTGGTGTCCATGTTAGGGTTCTCAGGTTCCGAATGTCCATCTACACCATCGTCGGTGTCTTATGCTCGGGCCCGTTAAGGCGCACACTCTATGCTTAGTTGGTAGCCTGTAGGACGGCCCCTGTTGAGTACGTAGCTTGATGTGGGTACCCATCTCATAAGATCGTCCAAAATCTGTCCACGCTGCCCAGAAGCGGAGCCTCCACAAGCAAATTATAATATTGACCATTGAAAGGGGACACTGTCCTAAGACACTGTGTTCGGGTAGCACCCCACGGCAACGCGACATATGGAGATCGACGGTAACTCCTGTCTACGCTCGCGTTCTAACCCAGGACCCCGAAGCTAATCCCCGCGTTCAGGATGCGGCTCCCCGCACTCCGTTGCATGCGGAGGTTGTCAAGTGAATCGGTCTAGGAAGTTCTTGGCAGCGGTTGACGTAACGCTCCCTCCACTTCATCCGGAGCTCTTGCTTCTGCCTTGGGTCCTAAGTTGCACCCAGATAGCGAATCGATCGTGAACAAGATCAAACCAAACATGGATTATGAATCGACACGACAGCCTTTACGGCAGATATGTGTACCAACATTGGGCTGTTGACTATACCCGTCCGGTCAGTGGGGTGCGGTAACCCGTCCGAATATTACCATGGCTTGTATAATTACCGTGCTCGGCAAGGTCTACCCCTGACTACAAATTGCAGACCATCCCAGATCTTGAGCAGAGGATCAACGACATCTGATAGCGAGGAAGCAGGTTAAACAGCCTCTCAGCGACGGGATCCATCAATATCAGTCCTTGACAATGGCCAGTCTTAGCCTGCTCTCCATCTTCGGCCTCCTGCCAGTGGCCTGCCTCGCAGTAGTGACCATCCAGGACCCTTCAGACGTCATCCCACCCTCGGCCTGGGCTGCAGACAATGCCATCGTGCCGGACTACAACGTGCCGTTCATTGCCACGCAGCCGTCACCTAGCAAGTCACCCCTCCTAACCTTCTTGTCGTAGTGCGCTTGCTAACTTTACCCACAGTTCAGGCAGCCTACACCTACGACTCTCGCAAGAAGTCCGTATCAGTCGACCATCAGTCCTACACCGTGAACAAGAACGACACGAGCGTGATTCTCGTGACCGATGGTGCCAAGTTCGACGCCTCGTACATCGACGTGCTCAAGTACGGATACTCTTCGAATCTTCTGACGGCCAGTTTTTACGGGTTTAACGCAGCTGTGAACGTCGTATGTCCCATCCCCTCGTCCCCATCTCCATTTTTCCTTCCTTCCTCCCATCCTAATTATTCTGTTCGCAGGCAAACGGTTCAGAAGCGACCCTGAAAAATGTCAACATAACCGTGCACAACGGCGCAGCCAACATCTACTCCTACGGCACCGGGACGGTCGTGCACGTTGACAACGCCTGGCTCTATTCCTCTGGTCCAGTTTCCCACGGCTTGTACGCTTCAGGGAATGGTACCATCATCGCCCACAACGTGCAGCAGTTCTCCGGCGGCATGCGCTCATCGTCCTTCTCCGGCGACTCTCCCGTCGGCGACGTCTATGTCTATAACAGCGTAGCCCACGCTGCCGGTGTCGGGTCAGCAACCTTCTATGCCCTGGGCACCATTTATGCAGAGAACGTGCAGTCCATTTCTGAAAAAGGCCCAGTGGTGTTTATGGACGGCGCGCAGAACGCTACCCTGATCAACTGCGACTCTACGGCTGGGTTGTTGGGAGGGGTGGCCATTTTCAGTTCGCAGATTCGAACGTCGGGCGCCAGTCTGAAGCTTAAAAACTCCCGCATCACCACCCTAGGAAAGACCATGCCGGGTTTGTGGTTCGGAAACACGATTATAAACGTTGACATTGACACCACTGAAATCAACACGCAGAGCGGAGTACTGGTTACGGCGAATTACAGCCAGATCACACAGGATTTTGACTATTACGCCGGGTACGCGGACAATAACAATTTGCTGCCGGCGCTCGTGTATGCGACCGTCTCAGAGAGCAAGCTCAAGGGGGATTTAGTGGCGTACAATGGAAGCTACATTTCTTGGAAGCTCCAAGACCATACTTCGTGGACGGGCGCAGCGTATGATGGCGCTTCGGCGGGCAAGGCGGGGACGTTTGATGTCGCGCTTGACAGCAGCAGCAACTGGACGCTGACGAAAGATACAAAGGTGCAGAACTTTACGGATGGGGATAGAACCCTGGGAAATATCCAGAGCGCGGGATTCACGCTGTACTACAATGCCAGCGCGGGCCAGAGCAAGTGGCTAGGCGGGAAGACGGTCAAGTTGAATGGTGGTGGTGTTGCCAAGCCTCTGTAGAGCAGCCGTCATTAATATTAAGAGCAGCATCTTGCTTTTAGCGCAGGAATAGTTTTCAATAAAATTGTGAAAGCGGAAATAAAACGACGATAACGTTTCTAACGACGCGTTTTGGCATATGATGAAGTCGAGACGTTTTTGTCGGGTAGCTCCGATGCTAACATGTTACGTAGCGTGCGCCGCTGAATCGGGGTGCTTGTGGAACCGGACCCCTCTGACATCACCGCGGCTGAGCATCCATCTCAGCATCCATTCGCCTCATCCGTTCAGTCCGCCAATCCGCCACGATAAACGTCCATACCGTTCCAAACCTCCCCATCTGCAACTGGATTTTTTTGGGGTTTAATACCATGCCTAGGTCAGGATTTGTATCGCTTGCGTTCCGTAACAACAATGACAAGGACAGCACAGACAGCAACGGCGACACAGCCGACCAGTCGGAGATTGAGATCATCCCGGGTGAAGGCAGAACCAGATAGTAATCAGCAAGAACCGGTATCCCCGGAAAGTTTCTCAGGGAAGCGAGCAGCAGTGCCAGCAGACCCGAGACACGCACTCGCGCGCAAAAGAGCCAAGCTCGAGCCCAAACCTGAGAATTCAGACTCGGACTCGGACTCTAATACTATCAAGCACATCAAACCTGGACCCAACGATAATGTCCCATCCACACCAGCTAGGAGATATCCCGATATCAGCCCCAAGACGCTCCCCACGCCCAAATCATCCGCCGAGAAATCCAAGGGCCGTCCTGCAGATTTACAGGCGCGGAAGTTGAAGTTGTACACCGGGCAATCCCCATTTCCAGACTTCCCTCACCCCACGCCCGAGGAATGCAAGCTGGCCCACCGTGTTTTATCACGTCTTCATGGCTCCCGCAAACGGCCTAGCAAAGTCGTGGCGTCGGCGACGCGAGCGGGGTGCGGCGATTCGCCCTCGGTGTTGGACGCCCTGGTCCGCACGATCCTGTCACAAAACACATCGGACGCCAATTCCAGCAGAGCAATACGGAGTATGGACTCCGTTTACGGTAGATCCGACAAGTGGGAGGCCATCGTTGAGGGCGGTCGGGCAAAGTTGCAGGAAGCGATCAAGTGTGGCGGGTTGAGCGCTGTCAAATCAAAGGCCATTATCAACATCTTGCAACAGGTGTACGAGAGGCATGGGGAGTATTCCTTGGATCACTTGCATACAGTGTCAAGTGAGGAAGCAATGCGGGAGATGCTGTCGTTTCAGGGTGTTGGCCCAAAGACTGCGAGCTGTGTGCTCCTGTTTTGCCTGGGGAGGGAGAGTTTCGCTGTGGACACTCACGTATGGAGAATAACGGGATTACTAGGTTGGCGGCCGGCAAAAGCGAGCAGAGATGAGACACATCTTCATCTTGACGCGAGAATACCGGATGAATTGAAATATGGACTACATGTGTTGTTAGTGGGGCACGGGAAGAAGTGCGAGGAGTGTAAAGCCGGTGGGAAGAACAGCACATTATGACATGTTAATCTAGACACTGTCGATTTCCTTGTTCAGGGGCGAGCCGGTGCTGCTGCGGCTTTGACCTGTGTAGAGGGTGTGCGTCCTGTGTAGAGGGTGTGCGTCCTGTGTAGAGGGTGTGCGTCCTGTGTCGGGGGTGTGCGTGGTGTGCTGCTGACTGCGGCGCAGTTGTGGAGCCTCATTCCGCCGCCCCTGCTATAGTTGCCGGAGATAAAAATGGAACCAACTAAGGTACCTTACGCAGGGAGGCTTTTTCTAGATCCCTACATATGCAGGGAGGCTTTTTCTGGATCCCTACATTAATTGACCTTATGGATCTGCTCTGAGTTACCATTAATATCTATTGTTGTTAGATAATCTGCGGTATGTCTTTAGTATTGACATTCCGTCTCGAAGCTATCTTATGAAATTCCTTAAATGCGTTTGTTCACTGAGTAGATTATAGGTTAAGACTATGGAATTAACACTATATGGTAACTTTATCCTAAACCTTACGCACATAAGATCGTGAGCTATAGTCGACTTTGTATAAATATACCTTAGCGGAGATGGCAGACTTCAGTGCAGGCGAGAGTGGCTATAAAGGAAGGCACGGCTGAACGTCCACT